AGGGGGGAAAGTGAGAAAGCAAGCCACCAGGTCCGGAACTTGAACTGTGGTCAGCCATGTGGGAGTGTCTAGCGCCTTAACCACCATGCCAACTGCTGATCCCATGGAGTATGTTTTTATTTAAAAATAATTTTTTTCTTTTCTTGGAGTATGTTTTTAATATCTAGTCTTTACTTTTAAAAGTATACATTTCCAGCATATTAAGAAAAATGTACCTATGAATTAATTTCAATTAAGTCTGAAATGAATCCTTTAGAACTGATTATTTAAAGAATTATTTAATTTTATTATTATTATTATTTTAAAGAATTATTTATTTAATTTTATTTATTCATCCATTTATTTTAATTTTGACCAAAGAGAGATAGACAGACAGACAGACAGACAGACAGAGAGAAAGTGAGAAAGCAAACCACCAGGTCCAGGATTTGAACCGTGTTTGGCCATGTGGGAATGTCCAGCACCTTAACCACCACGCCACCTCCTGGTCCCTATTATTATTATTTTAATTTGCTATAGTACATGTCTGTTCACCAAAGAGAAACAAGCGAGAAAGTGAGGAAGCAAGCTGCCAAGTCCAGAACTCAAATCCCAGCTGGCCATGTAGGAGTCCAGCGCCCCAACCACCACACTACCTGCTGGCCCCCAGAACTGATTTTGATATAATCCACTTTTATTCTATTTTTTTCTTGTCAAATATAGCATAGGCTTTTCCTTTTTTAAATTACATATTTTTTTATCATTAGTTTTTACGGTGTGTGCACTCAAGGGGGAAGAGGCTGGAGGTGTGAGGTAAGAAAGCACTGCTGGTACTGACCATGCCACAGTCCCTCTCCTCCATTTTCTTCTTGGGATTTGGGGCACGCATGCACACATGCCTGTTTTTCAAGCCACCAGGTCCAGGCCTCGAACCAGGCAGCCAGCCATGTGGGATCCCACCACCTTAACACCGTGCCACCTGGCTGGCCTGGCTTTTACTTTTTTAATCTCTGTCTACTAGAATTACATGCTTAAAATAAAATAAAATAAAATAAAATAAAATAAAACACACAAACCTTTACACATTTCTCCTGAATATCACTTCTCTGAGAAGCAGATTTGTTCAGTGGTTTTTCACCATCTATTCCATATTCTTCATGTCTCACTTTGCTAAGGTGATGATCTGAAATCCATTCCATGAAGATAGTTAAGAGCTCATAAACTTGTCCGTTAAAAGGAGCCTATATTCGAAGATTAAATCAAGCATTTATTTTAGTTTATAATCTCCTAAGACTTCAAGGCAAGGCCTAAATTTGATAACTGATTATCAAATAATTTACCTACAGCACTTCACTAAAATATTAAAAATATATTAAATGCTGGCTGAGCAAAGGCAAGAAAACTCATCATGATAAGAAAACTTAAAGTACTATACTTTATTATTAAAATAATTTTCATAATAGTTCTTTACTCAAGTTTGATACAGTATAAAGGAAAATTAGCCTTAGCATAAAAGCATGTACCAACATAATTAAGAGATTCTAATGAACTTAAAGATTCCCAAAGTTAAAAGATTTCCATTATGGAAGCTTGTATTCCCTTCTCCCTACAAGAGTTATTTTGTCCTTACAGTATAACATTCTAAAACCATAAAATGAATTTTTTTTCCTGGAAATCTTGTTCTCTGGGAGCCTATCAAAATGAGAGGAAAAATAATAAGAACTCTCACAAATTTATAAATTTAACTGGACTGATTTTTAGATTTATCTTAAAATGCACTTTTGGCCGATTTAATATTTTTCACATATCTATCTTAGGGAAGGAACTATTCTACATTTAATTAGCTTTTTAAAAATCGGCAAAGACAGAAAAGTATAAGAGGAAATTAATAACAAGGTAACAGTGCGCCAGCAGGTGGCATGGAGGTAAAGGTGGCTGGACCCCACATGGCCAACTGTGTGGTTTGAGTCCCAGATCCAAAAGAAAAAGAAAAAGAAAATCCTGCCAGATGTGCGTGTGCCCAAAACCCCAAGAGGAGAATGGAGCAGCAGCATGGCTACCCCTCTACGGGGGTGACTTCTCACTTTTCTTCTTTCTATAGGGTATATGAGCACATGTACCTATAGCAAACTGAAAAATAAATTAATTGAAAAGGCTACCTAAGTAGACATCAACCACAAAAACAGAGCCAAATAACTGAAGACAAAATGATAAACAGCAGAGTTACCACACATTACTCTGAACAAGAGTCATTTTTAATAGCCTCAATTTCTTTCAACTACAGATTAACTGCTTTAGATAAAAACTTCAATTATCTTCAGCATCTGGGTACAAAAATCTCTACTTTTTGATGTGCTTTACAGAAAGGACAAGAAATTTCTCACAATGATTAAAGCTCACAGTGAGAAAGCATTGCAATGTGATACCACTACCTACCGCTGGAAGGGTCAAAATAAGAACCACTAAAAACCCAAATGTTAGCAAGGTTGTGGAGTAGCCAATACTTCGTGTATTGCTAATAGCATAAAATGGCACTACAACCACCTTGGAAAAGAGTAGTTTCTTTTTTCTTTTCTTTTCTTTTCAAGTTTTTTCAATAGGGTATGTGCACTTGCCAGAGAAAGACAGTGAGCATGAAAGCGAGAAATTATCCCCCAGGAGGGACAGCCATACTACAATCACTTCTAATCCTGGGATTCTGGGCATACACACACACACACACACACACACACACACACACACACACCCCAGGTGTGACCCTCAAGTCACCAGGTCCAAGACTTGAACTGAAGTCAACCATGTGGGAGTCCAGTGCCTTAATCACCATGCTACCTGCTGGCCCTAAAACAGCATTTTCTTAAAAACATACATCTACATGGACTTGGAAATTCTAGTTGTGGTATAAACCCAAGATGAATGAAAATGTGTGTCTATAAAAACCTTGTATATGAATTTCATAGCAGCTTTATTCATAACAGACAGAAAGCAGAAAGAGCCCAGGTATCTATCAACAGAAGAACAGATCAAGGAAACCATGAAATATCACTATGTACTGTAAAGGAACGACTGACTGACCCAACGTTACGCTGAGAAAAAGAAGCCTCACACAAATGAGTGCACGCTATACGTCACTGACTGAAGTTCCAAAATAGGGAAGCCTAATTCGTGATGACAGAAATCAGCCCAACAACTGCTGGTAGCAGGGGAGACTAACCAGGAAAAGGCACAGAACCTTGTAGGCTGATGGGGGTGCTCTCCATTTAGTTAGAGGTGAATGAGTGCAAGCACAGGCTGAATATGCCTTATCCAAAATACCAGGGGCCAGAAGTATTTCAGATTTCAGATTTTTGCAGATTTTGTAATATATGCATATACATAATCTTGGCAGGGGGACCCAAGTCTAAACACAAAATTCATTTTTGTTTCAGATATACCTTTTGATTTTACACAATGTTTTCATGTTGCAGTGTTTGATGCAAACCCATCACTAAGTCAGGTATAAAATATTCCATCTGCAGCATCATGTCAGTGCTCAAAAAGTGTCAGTGCTGGCGCACTTCAAATAAGAGATTTTCAGATTAAGGATGGTCAACCTGCATTTGTCAAAACTAATCAAACTTTATACTTTAGCATCTGTGCACCATGCACAGATTTATACCTCAAGTTGAGAAAATTCTCAAGGAAAAAAAATATACATGAAGCCCACTCGGGGATAAGCTGCGGTCTTGACAGAAAAATACTGAATACCTGCAGAGTCTGGAGACACACTGAATAATAAAACCATTATTAACCTTAAGTTCCTGTGATTTGTCAGTGCTATTATATCAGAAACACTGATAAAATATTACTGCTTTTGTAAATAAAAGTAATGTTTGAAAAACATTACTTTGCAAAAAAAAATCTCTCTGTAAAAGAATTATTATGGAACGCTTTCATTATCAAAAAGAATACTGCTTAAAAACAAGGCTGAAGAAAAGAGCAATTTCCTCAGCTTTTCAATGGAGGTACTTTCAAATGTATCATACCTTGTAAGTTTTTGAAACAGGTACTTTTTCTTGTTTTAAACTTTTCATTTCATGAGCTGCATGAGAATTTCCTTTCAGTCTCTGTATTGTCATAAACTCATATTTCCTCTGCAACAGTACATATACATGAATTAAAGAACAACTGTATTAAAAGTAAACCTGAAGGTTGTCACTTAAAAATTCAGCAGTGTCTTAAGAGATGAGGAGGCACCATACCTGTAAATTATCTAAACGAGCTTGAACTCTTTTAGCCTGAATCTCCATTTTTCTATTTTCTTCACTTACTTCATTTAACTAAAAGAAGAAAAAGTTAGGTATTTCAATGAGTCCTAAATTGGTTTCATACTAGGGATTTCTCAGTCTACTCTCTTACCTGGTCTATATAACTAAGGAATGTAACAAAACACAGGTAGGAGCAATTGCGATGAAAATAGATTGCAGCATCTATTTGCAGCCTGATGATGCAGTCAGTAGCAAACTGAACTACAGCACTGGAAGCTACACGAAAGACTAGTTTGGATCCCCAGGCTGGCTTGAAAACATACAGGGTGCATGCATACATGCCCAGGATCCTGAGGAGCTGGAGCGCTGGAGAGGGTAGAACGTGGCATGATAAAACCGTGTCAAGGAGGTCTCTCTCTCTCTCCCCCTTTCCCCCCATGTCCTCACACTGGCTCTCTTTCGTTGATTGAAAGAATTAAAAAATAAAAATAGATCACAGCTAAAATCATCACTTTCCCCTAAAACACACACACACACACACACACACGCACACACACACACGCACACACACACACACAATGGGAAAAACTGACATCTTTATAATACTGAGTTTCCCCATCTATGAACATGGCATATCACTGAATCCACTGTCTTTATTTTCATAATGTCCTGTAGCTTTCACTATGAATGTCTTGTCCATCTTTCTTCAGATTTATTCCTCAGTCGTCAATGACTTTTGATGTTACCTATGGTACTTTCAATAGAGAGCATTTGCTATTGCTGTTGGTGTGTAGAAATAAGCTTGATTTTTACATACTGAACTTACATCCAGAAATACCACCAAATTTGCTTATTAATTCTAAGAGTTCGTCTGGAGAGTCTTTTGGATACTTATTTACGTAGGTATATAATGATGCCATCTGAGAATCATTTCTTCCTCTCCGAACTTTTTTATCCTTGTTGCACTGACTAACACTTTCTTTACGATGTCCAAAAGAAGTGGTGACAGCAAGAAGCTTTATTTTGTTTTGACCTCAGAAGTAAAAGCCTTCAATAACTTAACGTTAGAAATGATTTGTGTATGAGCCACCTCGTGGCATGGTGGTTAAAGCTACTGGATCCCACATGGCCAAAAGCATAGTTTGAATTCCACCTAGTGGCTTGAAAAACATGCTGGGCATGGGTGCATGTGTGCCCAAAATTCCAAGAGGAGAATGGAGAAGGAATCGTGGAAAGGTCATCCTCCTGGGAAGTGTTTTCTTACTTTCAGTCTCTCTTTCTCTCTCCAGTGAGCACACACGCCCTATAACATTTTTTTTTACAGGGATATTTTTGCTATACGGCATGTGCACTCATCAGAGAAACAGAGAGAAAGAATGTGAGAAATCACCACCCAGCAGAGACGAGTCCAACGACATAACTATTATACCATCTGCTGGTCCCAAACAAAAATTTTTTTGGAGAGGTTTTTACTATAGGTCACGTGCGCTTGCCAGAGAGACAGAAAGTGAGAAATCACTCCCCGGGGGGGATGGTCATGCCATAATCCCTTCTCTTCCATTCTCCTCTCGGGATCTTGGGCACACATGCACACGCACCCGGTTTGAGTTTTAAGCCACCGGGTCCGGGACGCGAACCATGGTCAACTACATGGGAGTCCAGCAACATAGCCATTACATTAACTGCTGGTCCCCCAAACAAATTTTAAAAAAGAAAAAGGGACCAAGTAGATGGTGTAATGGTTATGTCGCTGGACTCTCACATAGTTGATTGTGGTTCAAGTCCTGGACCTGGTAGCTTAAAACTCATGTCAAGCACATGTTTGTATATGCCCGAAATTCTGAGAGGAAAATCGAGGATAAGGAATTATGGTGTGGTCATCCTTCCTGGAGGGGTTAATTTCTTGCTTTCTGTCTCTCGGCGTCTCCAGTGAGAGTATGCGCCCTATAACAAAAACATCTCTCTTTAAAAAAAAAAAGGAAAAGAAAAAAGAATGACTTTTCTTGTTGAATTTTCTTTTATAGGTATGTACTTGACCAGAATTAAGAAGTTACCTTCTAGATCACAGGTGGCATTGTGGTCAATGTGCTGGACTCCCACATGGCCAACTGCAGTTTGAGTCCCAGATCTAGCAGCTTGCCTTCCCACTTTCTCTCTCTGTGTGTCTCTCTCTGGTGAGTGCATGTGCTCTATAGCAAAACAAAACTTTTTTTAAAGGGTTTTTTTTTTTTTTTTTTGGCTATAGAGGGTGTATGCTTGCCAGAGAGACAGAAAGAGATAAAGAGACGTAAAGTGAGAAATCAACCCGAAGGGGTAATGGCCACACTGCAATCCCACCTCCTCCATTCTCCTCTTGGGATTTTGGGCACACATGTACATGCACCCATTGTGAGTTTTAAGCCACCAGGTCTAGGACTTGAACCATGGTTAACTATGTGGTAGCCCAGTGACATAACCATTATCCTATCTGCTGGTAGCCAAAAATTAAAAAAAAAAAAAAAAACAATAATGGGGGCCGGCAGGTGGCATGGTGGTTAACAGCAGTGGACTCCCATGTAGCTGACCATGGTAAAAAGTCCCAGACCTGGTAGCTTGCTTTCTCACTTTTCCTTTCTCTCTCTGTGTCTCTCTAGTGAAACTGAAAAATAATAATAAATTAAAAATAAAGTGGATAATTAAAATAATTAAAAAACAACAGTAATGATAAATAAAATATTCTAGAAAGTTATCTTCTATTACTACTTATTAAGTATTACCGAATTTCATATCAATAGAAATTGTCACAAATTTTCTTTTATTAGATAATGCATTAATTTTCCAATGTTAAACCACTCATGTTTTACTAGACTAAATCCCACTTAGTTGTATTATCTTATGTATTAATGGATTTAGTTTGCTATTTAAAAATTTCTGATCCTGTATACCTGAGAAAGAACGGTCTGTACTTTTTGTTTTCTTGTAATGTCAAGGGTTAGTTCCAAGGTTGTCTTGGCTTCATATAACAAGTGAAGGAGGTTTCCTCTTTTTCTATTCTGTATTTAAGGTATATGAAAACTCCCTCCTTTTTAAAAAATTATTTTATTTAATTTTATTTATTATCATTATTAGTTTGATCAGAGAAAGACAGAGAATGAAAGTAAGAAAGCAACTGCCAGGTCCAAAACTTGAACTGCTGTTAGCCATGTGGGAATCCAACGTCTTTAACCACCATGCCACCTGCAGGCCCCCAAAATTCTCTCTTTCTAAAAGCCAGGCATCAGTCTTATTATTTATTCACTGAAAGTAAGGTATCATATTTTTTCCCCACTGACTATTTCTAAGATTTTCTCTTTATCTAAAGTATTCGGCAATCTTAAAATGGTATGGGGGGGCCGTCAGTGACATCGTGGTTAAGGCGGCTGGATCCACATGGCCGACTGTGTGGTTTGAGTCTCACACTGGGCACATGTCTGTGTGTGCCTAAAGTCCTGACAAGAAGAAATGGGGAGAGGGGACTGCGGCATGGCCTTTGCCCATGGGGGTGCTTCTTACCTTTCTTCTCTCTCTGGTGAGCATGTATGTCCTCCAGAAAATTTAAAAGAAAAAGATAGGGTGGTTGTGTATAGTTTCCCTCATTCTTTATCACCATCAGTCAGTCTCTTGAATATGTAGGCAGACATATCTTCATCAGTCAGTTTCTTGAATATGTAGGCAGACATATCTCACCAGTTTTGGGAAATTCTTGGCATTTATTTCTTCAGTTAGTTGACTTTTGCCCTATTTTATCTATCCTCTCTTTCTGGAACTCCTGTAAGTGAAACTTCTCAATTATGTTCCACAAGTCTCTTTCCTGGATATTCCATTCTTCCTTCATTCGATGCTTCAAACTGGAGGCTTTTTTATGACACTACCTTCCAGCTCACAGACCCTTTCTTCCTCTATGTCTTGTATGTTGTTAAATCCATTCACTGGCATTCTTAAACTGAATGCTTTTTCAGTTTCGGACCATCAATTCAATTCCTTTTTTAGATTCCAATTTTTGAATAAAGTTCTGTCTTTTCTTTTTACCTTCTTGAACATATGATTCATTATTCTACAGCCACTGCCTGTTATCTGTAATATCTGACATTCTATGGTTTCTCTTCCTTCATATTTGGTCACATGGTCCTGTCTTTTGATGCCGTTATTAATTTTGTATTGAATAAAGGTATTACATAGCAGACACTGAAAAGTGTCTTCTCCCCCAGACAAGCATGAGCTCTTCCTCTGCTTCATATTTAAAACAAGTGAGCACCTTACTCTGATCAGGAACTGAGACCAGCGAAGGCCTGCTTTGGTTTGAGGAGGGTTCCATCCACCTCCAGCACACCTGCTCCTAAGGTGCAGCATGGCTCCTTTCAACTGTGATACTGAGGTGTTCTCTGACACGGTCCCGATGGGTCTGGAACATTAATCCTTGTCCTCTCCGTGACAGTACTTCATGGGAATACGTGTGGCCAGAAGGCAGTACAGTGAAAATGGCATGTGCTGTGAGGCTGGCCCACACAGGAAGGTTCGGGGTTTGTTTCCAGAACCTTCTTCAACATGGCAGGCACACATGTGCTCATGATCCAGGGCTGGCTCAGGCTGCTGGTGGATCATGGCATCAGGACCCTGCTGGGGGGTGCTGCCTCTCTCTTTCGATCAAGAAATAAGTAAATACACTGTTGGTTTTTTTTAAATGAGAAATACTTTAAAATTATTATAAAAGCAAACTCATATACAGCACTATCCAGAATTCATATGTAAGTCAGTCACAGAAATAATATACCCTTTAATCCTGTAATTTAAACTACGTGCCACTCATCTTGCCACAAGCAGGCCAAATCTGCTCACTGCTTGTTTTTATGAGAATACAGTCATCTTGTAACACAGCCATACTCGCGCATTTCCTCATTGTCTGTGGCTACTTTTGCACTGACAGCAAAGTGGAGTCCCTGAAACAGAGACCACATGGCCCTCAAGCCCAAAATATTTACTACTTGGTTGTTATATAAAACTTGAAGACCTCTGATCTACTCTACGCACAGTAGCTATAAATAAGCCTTCTGCCCTCGGTGACAGAGCATTTCTCCCAAGGTCTTTCAGTTAGGATACACCAGCTCATAAATCTAATTATTGACAGGCCCAATAATTAATAACCTGCCTAGTTAATCACCACATGTTCATGGAATCCCATGCAAAATTATTAAGGATTCTAGGAACCTTAGAGACACAGGCAACGATACACCTACGCTAGCAACTAGCAACTACTGAGAGGCAGAGGCTGCCGGATTGAGGTCATGGGGGAGCTGTCTCTTCAGAGATAACACAGGCGTCTAGACAGTCAGGCAAGGTCGCGGTCCATCTGCAGGGGGTAATAAATGAGATCAGGGAAGCCAGGGAATTAGATCGAGTGAGAAACAAGGCCCCTAAGTATCTCTGCCAAAGAGTAGGGAGGTAACAAGTGGAAACAACGGGAGTCAAAAGGAGGAACAGAACTGGGGACAGACAGCTGGCTACGAATTCTAGGGGGCAAATTACCTAAGAATCTGAGCTCAGCTACATTTCGGAATCCATAAAGCTTCCCAGCCCCATGCTCTGAGTTTCAAAGTGGTGGGGTTTACTCCAATTTCTGCCCATCTACTCCTCCCCACACAGTCAAACATACACATGATCATTCTGTCGTTCTTTAATATAGTCCTCTACTTCCATATCTTTCTAAAACTGGCAGAGGGAGGGGAAAAAAGACATAATTCCCCCAAAATATTTGTTAGAAAGCTTCACTGTAAGGGATAGACCTAACCACAGCCCCGACATGAGTAATCACACGGCAAGGGGATGCCAGTCTGTAATGAGCAGACTCTCACCACGGAAGGGCTTGAGTTTAGGGGTGCACAGCACAGGGTAGATTCTCAGAAAGTAAATAAATGTTAAATAAGCAGTAGCAAGTAAGAGCAGGTACAACAATATTAAAGTCAGAAAGTAGTGCCTAAACTGTCATTAGCTCTCAGATCTTCAGGTTCATTTCTTTCGCATGTCTTTTTGTTTTGAAGTCATTTGTTTGGAGAGAGAAAGAGAGAGGAACATTCTAGACAAGATCTTCATGACGCAGTCCTCCCCAAGTCTTGGAGCCAGCCAGGATCACAGACACACCCATAGGTGTAGCTGGTATGTTGAGGTGGACCCAGGACACGAACCTGGAGCCTTCCTGCAAGGTCTTTGGCATGACGCAAACAGCATCTCTACTGCCTGCACCATCACAACTGAACCTTCGTTTTCTTTTCTTTCTTTTGGAAAGAAATAAATAGGGCTATAGGGTGTGTGCGCTTACCAGAAAGACAGAGAGTGACAGAGAGACAGAAAGCAAGAAATCACCCTCCAGGGGGATGGCCATGCCACAATCCCTTCTCCTCCATTCTTCTCTTGGGATCTTGGGCATGCACGCACATATGTCCGGCATGAGTTTAAGCCACCGGGCCCAGGACTCGAACCATGGTCGACTACATGGGAGTCCAGCGACATAGCCATTAAACCAATTGCTGGTCCCCTGAAACTTCATTTTCTTGCTTTTAATCTACTGTAATAATGTTCTTTTGTTTTAAGATGTTTCAAATTGCCAAATACCTCAGTTGGGTGCTAGAACAAATGAAGAGAAGGAATGAAGAGTTTAAGAACATTTTATTTGTATTTTATAAAGCCAGTATATAAATTCAATCAATATTGTCTCTAGCTGAAATATGTTCTAAGACCAATCTAAAACACATTACATATACATCTAAGGATGCCTTATAATCTAATATATATTAAAATACATCTTACCTGTTTTTTTAAGTTATCATTCAGTTCTTTCAATGAATCAAAAGAGGACTTCAGTCTCTTGCTCTCTTTATTCTTTTCCTTAAGAACTTCAGTTAAGTGTTCAACTTCCGCATCATGTTGCTTGGAATGAAAAAATATCTGATCTCAAAATTGTGTAAGGAGTTATTACTAATGCTACAGAACATAAATTAATTACAAATTACAATTTCTCCAATCACAAAAACTTTAATTAGTTTATTTAAGCATAGGTAATTAATGTAGCACTTAATTTATGAAAATAGTATTATCGACCAAAGTAATAATAAAACATCAAAAGCATTTGTGAAATGCATATAAAACACATAAGGGCTCTTCAAAAAGTTCATGAAAAACTAATGATTATGATTAAACTATGAATCAATCTTGGGACCAGCAGTTAGCGTAATGGTTATGTTGCTGAACTCCCATGTAGCCAACCACAGTTCAAGTCTCGGACCCAGCAGCTTAAACTCACACCGGGTGCGTGTGGGTGCGTGCCCAAGATCCCGAGAGGAGAAGGGATTGTGGTGTGGCCATCTCCCCAGGGGGTGATTTCTCGCTTTCTATCTCTCTGTCTCTATCTTTGTGGCAAGCGCATACACCCTATAACAAAAATCTCTCCAAAAAAACTATGAATAAATTTCAAACTTTTTGAACTAAAAGAAACTGGTACCGTAATTCCATTTTTCCACAAACTTTTTGAAGTCTCTCATTACCATACAAATTAAGTAGCCATAAGTCTACTTCTGCTCAGAAAACTCTACCCAACAAAACTGACTGAAATATTTTCTATTTGACATCATGAAATAAGAAAACAATGAGGGCCAGTAAATGGTGTGGTGGCTGAGGTGCCAGACTCCCACTGGCTACCACAGTTCAAGCTCCAGACACGGTGGCTGGCTTTCTCACTCTCCCTCTCTCTCTCTGGTCAGGCTGAAGAATGGTAATAAAAAATAAAATTAAATAAATAACTAAAAGAAAATAATTAAATAAAAAAGGATTTCTGATCTTTTCTGATACTAATAAGCTATTCATAGCTTTATATGAATAGATTTATATATTAAAATGTAAGGTGCACATTCCTCTTGAGGAGTATGAGAAATATTCTATAGATAGAACAAGCTAATTTCTTATTTTCATATAGTATCTAATATTTTATTTTTACCAAAGAGCACATGTACTCACCAGGAAAAAAGAGAGAGAGAGAGAGAGCACACATACCCCCATGGGGTTTGTCAAGTCAAGGCCACGATCCCTTCTGTCCATTTCTCGGTCCTCTGAGAATCTGGGACGTGCATGCACATGGGCCCAGCGTGTTCTCAGGCTGCCAGGGCTGGGGTTCAGACAGCACAGTCAGCCATGTGGAATCTAACTCCCTCAGCTATTAGCCCATGGAGCCGGCCCAACAGCTCAAACTTTTTAGCCAGTTTTATATCTCAAAAAATGTTAAAAATATAATAAAATTTCTCTGAGTCTCCAACTCTCCTTAATCGGTTTTATAAATGATTAAATCAACTTCCCCTCTAATTACATTTAAATGAAATAGCATATTTTAAGTTTTAAATGAGACATAATTTCCTTCACGTTCTATTCTCATAAGTATTAAAACAAGCAAGTTTCTGTAAGAAATCAAGGAACAATTTCCTCCTCCTAAGTAATCATAAAAATACAATTACTGATAAAATAAAGCAGTTGTCTTCATACTTTCTTTTAATTTTAGATTTTTTTGCTATGGGGTGCATGTGTGCGCTTGCCAAAGAGACGTAGAGATGGGGACAGTGAGAAATCATCCCCCAGAGGGCTGCCACAATCTCTTCTCCATTTTCCTCTTGGGATTTTAGGCATGCAGACACATACGTCCTGTGTATTTTTCAAGCCACCAGGTCTGGGACTCAAACCACATGCGTGTGGATTTGGCACCTTAACCACCAGGCCACCAGCTGACCCCCACCTTTATATTCAATAAGAAGGGAAGACAGTCAATTCTAAAGAGAAAGAATCAAGACTGAGATGAGGAGGAACAGATCTGAGAATCTAAGCATTTGTTTTCTAGTCCTGTGAAAACATTTTTTTTTTTTTGGTAGTTTTATCACTATGTTACTATGTTTCTTCAAGTAGCTTAGTAGCTTTCTTTATCATGGACCAAAGTAACAATAAAATATCAAAAGCATTTGTGAAATGCACATTAAAACATATAAGGGATCTTCAAAAAGTTAATGAAAATGGGTATTATGATAAAACTATGAGTAAATTTCAAATTTTTTGCATTAAAATAAACTGGTTCTTTAATTCCATTTTTCCACAAACTTTTTGAAGTCTCTTTATATTATCACACAAATTAAGTAGCAATAAGTCTACCTCTGCTCAGAAAATTCTACCCAAGGAAAGGCACTGAAATATTCTCTATCTGACATCGTGAAATAAGAAAACAACGGAGGCCAGTAAATGGAGGTGGCTGAGGCGCCAGATGCCCACATGGTTATTTTTAAAACTAGTTAATACTTTGGGAACCAGCTCTTAGCGTAATGGCTATGTCGCTGGACTCCCACGTAGTCGACCACGGTTCGCGTCCTGGACCCAGTGGCTTAAAACTCACGCCGGGCGTGTGTGCGTGCCTGCCCAAGATCCCGAGAGGAGAATGGAGGAGAAGGGATTGTAGCATGACCATCCCCCTCTGGGGGGTGATTTCTCGCTTTCTGTCTCTCTGTCTCTCTCTGTCTGTCTGGTGAGCGCATGTGCCCTATTGCGAAAACCTCTCCAAAAAAAAAAAAACAACTCATGCCGGGTGCGTGTGCGTGTGTGCCCAAGATCCCGAGAGGAGAATGGAGGAGAAGGGACTGCGGTGTGGCCATTCCCCCTGGGAGGTGATTTCTCATTTTCTGTCTCTCTGTCTCTCTGACTCTGGCTGGTGAGCGCACGCGCTCTATAGCAAAAACCTCTCCCAAAAAAAAAAAAAAAAAATCTAGTTAATACTTTCATTGCCCAAATTTTCCCACATCTAAGTGACTAAAACCAGTGTCAGCTCCCTTTTCAGCATGGCAGGAGCAGCTCCCTGCAGTTCCAGTCAAAAACCCTCAACTTGACACAAAGAGCAAGTACCTGGGGCTGTGAGAAGTAAGCCAGATTAGGAAATGATTGTAGAAGGAAGTCCCAAGGTGTGAAGTTTCCTGTGTTTGTTTTTCCTTTTCTCTCAAAGTCTAACCTCAGGTGGGCTTCAGTCATGGAGAAGTGGAACAGAAACTTGCTCTAAAGCTCTGAGACAAAGCAGGTCTCCCCTGCAGAGAAACCAGGAAGAGGGACCCCATGAGCGGGTGTGGGGAGGAACTGGAGAAGAAAGAGGATCCTCTCACTCTGGCACACATGGACCCATATAGACCAGGTTCACCCCAGAGATGCAGGCACAGGACGGACCAAGAGCAGGGAGGAAAGGCTCGGAGAATGGAGCTCGGTTTAAAGTGACGCCCCAAGTATGGCGTAACGGTTATGTCTGGCAAAGAGCCACAACAGCACCACAAAGGCTTTGAGAGCTAAGACTTGAAACTGCTTCCTGGGTCTCAGACGACCCCTAAGTGGCAGCACGAACAAGACAACTCCAAAGCAACACTGCAAAGGCTTCGGAGGCTGGGCTGAGCCTGGAACCACTGCCCACAGAAGGTAGGAAAATTGTGGCCCAAACTTTAAAAAACAACGTTCTCCAGAAGATTTTTTTTTAATTTCCAAATAACATGTTCAACTAAAAAAAAAAAAAAGACAAAATCAAATAAAATTACATGACAGTGTCGTTCAGGTAAAATATTGGTAGAAACGATAGTATATTTCAGGGCTTAATTGATTTAATAAGAGGTTCAAGTTATAGGAATCTAAAAGGAAGGGTGAGGACAAATAACATGATACACTAATACGTTTCTGCATATAGCAAGCCTTTCCCCTCATGGAGAAATAATTTAATTAACACAAAAGTACTGAACAATTAGTGGTCCTCATCTGGCTTAGGACTCATGAACTGAATTGCCATTAAACATCCCAATAGTGAAACCTAGGCCAGGCCCATCCTGAGATGGATACTGAACTGGAGCTGTGAACTATTGCTTTCCTTGACCAAACATGAAGATTTTCTGCTGAGACTTCCCCTTCCAGAATCATTTCTAGTGGCCTCTACGCACTAAGTATCTAGACAGGTCCAAGTGAACAGGATCCAAACATGTGAATACAATTATGGTGAGAATATTCGTCTATTCCCACTGAATTCGATGCACAGAGTGAAAATGGAATGGAAGAGAGACTGAGATCATCTAGATCCTCCTGCACATCTCTGAACACTCAGATTGAACTTCAAGAATTAGGAAGAAACGCACCATCCATCAGATGACTAGAAATCACCGCAGGATCACAACAAATATGGGAAAGCAAGAACATGCCTTTCCTCCAAGTGAAAAGTATAATTTCTCTTCATCCTCAGACAGTACGATGAAACTCATGGAAATATCTGATAAAGAATTTAGAATATTCATAATGACAAAGCTAACAGAGATGGAAGAGAAGAGAGACAATGAACTGCAGTAGAGGCAGGAGAAAGAAGCCGATGAGTTCCAGGAGGTGAGGAAGTTCTTGCAAGATCTAAAAGAGGAAATACACACTTGAAAAAAGAATCAAATGGACCTGTTAGAGATGAAGGCTGTAATACAGGAAGTCAAAACCTCCCTTGAAAGTATTAAAAGCAGGCTAGATAATACAGAAAATCAAATCTCAGATGTAGAAGATAGAATCGCTGGCCTAGAAAAATCCACCATGAAGATTGAGAAAATTGTCCAAAAAATTAGAATAATATACGAGAAATACTAGATACCATTAAACATCCAAACATCAGGATAACTGGTATCCCAGAGACTCAAAAAGGCATTTATAATCAATTCCATGAAATCTGGATGAAATTTTTCCAAACCTAGAGAGGCATTCAAAGATCCAGTCCCAAGAAATACAGAGGACCCCAAATAGAATCAACTCAAGAAGATCTTCTCCAAGATACATTATAGCCAGATTGACCAAAACCACAGACAAAGACAAGATACTGAGACTGGCAAGAGAAAAACGGCAAGTTACCT